AATGCTTCGGCAGAGTTTAGTATGACTTTCAGTTAACCTACACTTTAGCTAACCAGCCTGTCTGGGTGCACAGGCCTTCACTGTAATGGGAGCAGAAGCTGGTCAGCTTTGATGGAGGCCATCAGCACCAGTGAGACCAAGAAACACTCAGATCTCCAGATCCCATAGAGTCACACAGGCCACCTCTCACCACTGTCATCGCTCAGAGGCCCACAAGCAACTCCTGTGTCACTTAACACAGAAACAAGTGTTCACTGCAGTAATCCTGCTTGGTAACAAAGGCTACTGGAAAACATTTTAGAGGTAGGTTCTCGACCCTTAACCTAGACTGTCTAATTTAGCTGCTCTTAGGATAAGGCCCAGAAATTTGCATTTTAGAGTTCCAGGAGAAATTGGAATATACAGCCGCTCAAGGATCACAGCCTATAATGTACTCTATTAAATATAATTTTGCAGAGACTTAAAAGCAGAATTGATATTAATTCTTCTGACAATGCCAACCCCCAGAGGAATATTATGGTCATAGACCATGAAAGTCTTGATCCAGACGAAGTTTACTTTTTACCTAGAAAGTCGCCTTTGTCCCACCCTATTCCAAACAGAGGATAAGCCCGTAAACTTGTGGCTGTCATCTGGTGGTAGTTAGTACTATGCTCAGGATTTTGGAAAGACTTCTGTTTATTTGGCATGCTCCACACAACCCTGTCAGGCTCTGGGGATTTGTGGCATTTGCAGAACTTACAAGGCAGGCAACATAAAAATATATAATTCATGGAGTCAAATATTTTGGAAGCCCCTTCACTTTTACAAATTGGCCATAAAATAGAAACCACAGACATAACATTCGTATAACCATAGATGTCAAGAATGAAGAATCATTTAGGGTGCGGTTGATTAAGTCTTTCAATGCTTACTTCTCTACAAGACACCCAGAACAAGAGTAAAGATTCAGAATTTATGTGTAAATACTAATAAGATCTTTCAAGTGGGAGATATAGTTCCCTTGCCTGAAAGTTGGTAAATACCTGTTGAACATGGGCATGTCTGGGTTGACATCCTTTAACAGTGTTTAAATCTATCATGTGAGGATGTTTGCACATCTTGTAGATGTTCCAAGTGTATTTAGGATTTTATATGTATTTCCCTATAAGTTACTGCTTCTTGTTTTTTCCCCTTTCTTAGTGGAAATGGTTCCCAATACCCAAGGCAGCTGTGCACATTACTGCCCGGGATACCTTAGTGGAAAGAGGAATGGGAAACCCCAGGCCTGCTGCTTGTTTTCCCCATGAGTGGTACTGACACATGGGGCTTACATTGGACCTTAGAATGAGTCCCCAGAGTGGAAGTTGGAGCTAATGGGCTTGTGTCGGTTCTGCTCAGGCATTCCCGGCACTTGGGTAATGGCTGATGATACTGGTGGTGATGCCTGACTGTTGACAGATAGCATGTTTAATGGGGCTGGATACGTATTAAGACCTAAGAAAGGAAACAATGTCTTTGTTACAGAAGTCAAATTAAAAATCCCTTTTACCATTTCATTTTATTGCATGTTAAAGGAGATATCACCCTGGGGGTCAGGAGAATTGAGACTTCTCTCATTGTGTGGCACTTTTTAGCTTTATACCTTGACAATGCCAAGTGGTCTCTCGGGGCCTCAATTTACTCACCAGAATATAATCATAGTGTCTCCCTCACAGAGATCTTGAGAGGATGCAATGGTGTAATTAAAAGGAAAGCGCTAGCCGCATTAAACACAGATCAGGATTTGGGGTGATAGAGGGTGATGGTGCAGGTTAGGGTATGAATTGGAAGGCAGGGAGAGGGCACATGAGGGAACCACTTAGGTGTTAGTAGTGCTTAAGACATTGGCTAGTGTGAACTTTAGAGAAATGCACAGCTAGAGTAAAAGACAGTGTATTTGATCCCAGTTTTGTTAACAAGGATTTTAAAGGTTTACACAGTCCAGAGCCTGCAGATCAGAATTTCTTAATCTTCCAGAAAGTGCTGTCCAACTAAAAATGATGATTTTTTAAATTAGACCTTCATAAACAAGCCTCTGTTTCTACCAAGAGGAAAGATGAAACAATTTCTTCACTTTAACAGCTTTTTCAACAACAACACATTGACTTAACCTGCCTCATTTGCCCATTTTTAGTGCATTGCCTAAGTTGTTTTAGAAGATGATTCCAAATTCAAAAGAGGTTTGTTTGTGGTGGTGTATAATGTGTTTTTGAAACTCACAGTCAGATTCCAAAAGCTTTGAGTGGTAATAGGTTACCCAGAATATTCTCCCCATGCAACTGTACATCCGTGTTCAGAGAAATGGTGGAAATGGAGTCACAGTGGAGATTTCTCTCTCTTTTCTTTTCTGTTACTATTGTAGATGTAGCTGCAGATGTGAGGTAGGGATTTCTGCTCTTATTCAAATGTCAATTATGACTATTATTGTGACTATTATTTGGGAGCTTCTCACAAGACCAAAAGAAAAATTGGAATTAACTTTAAAAAAAACCCTAATTTACCAAGAATTTAAATGTAAATAACATCATTGCTTACTAAAGAGATAATAAGCCTGCTCCTATATCAATTCACTAAGCAATTTAAGAGTATGATTTCTATGTAACTAAATCAGTTGTTTATTTAAGTCCTCTGAGAGATACCTGTGTTCTTGGATTAAAGTACCTACCTATATATAAATTCCTGTATCTTCCAGGTTTGTCAATACAGGTATAGAAATTCTGCATTTACTGTAATAATTGAGTTATCTCATTCTGTAGAATAACTAAACTTTGTTTTTATGCCGGCAACTCTGTCCCCACAGTGATCTCTGAGCCACCCTAGTTAATAACAGAAAAGTCAAACATACAAACACCATTTTTACTGTGTTTACATTTAGCAGGAAGCCTAGTTATGAGTAGGACCCTTCCAGGGACATGATTGATTTCTCTGAATATTAAAGCCACCACAGTTGTCAGTTACGGGGTACTTAGTAATTAAATTGAAGTTAAATGACATGTTATAATAACTGTCTTTTTACCCTGATGATTTTACTAATATATGCCTAGAAAGACTGACTGTGTCTGAAAGTATCTCTGCTTCACATTTCAATGGAATCCTTGAGTCAGTTAGTTTTTAAACAGTACATTCAATTCCACAGAGCAACCAAGACCTATCAGAATTTCGGTGGCCTCTTTTTTTTTTTTGCAGAAACTGATAAACTGATTCTAAAATTCCTATGGAAATATAAGGAATCCAGAATGAGTAAAAGAATTAGGAGCAATCAAAAACAAAGTTGGAGAGATTCACCCTTCCTACTTTTAAAATTTATAATAAAGTCATGGTAATCAAGACAGTGTGGTAGTGGCATAAAGAAAAACATGTAGATCAGTGGAATAGAATTGAAAATCCAAAAATCAGCCCTTATTTTATGGTTAGTGTATTGTCAACAGGGGTGTTAAACAGTTAAATGAAAAAAAGTACAGTAATCTTTTCAACAAGTGTGTTGGGATAATTTGGTATCTAAATGCTGAAGAAAGAAGTTAGACTATCTCATAGTATACACAAAATTAACTGAAAACGGATAAAAGATTTAAATGTTACAATTCAAATTAAGCCACACACACAGGAGAAAAATCCATACATCTTTGTGATTTTAGATTACTCAATAGTTTCTTAGATATGACACCAAAGCACAAGCAACCTAAGAAAAACTGGATAAATTGCTCTCAAAATTAAGCATTTTTGTGCTTCTAATGACAGTATCAAGAAAGAAACTGAAAAGATAACCCAGAGGATAGGGGAATACATTTATAAATCATCTATTAGGAAATCCAGGATTTATTTGTATGTAAAACTCTTAACTGTACCAATAAAAAGGCAATTGAATTTTACAATGAATAAAACACTTAAATACATATTTCTCCAAGGAAAATATATAATGACCAAAATACGCATGAAAAAATGTCTTATGTCATTAGTCATTAGTGCAAGTCAAAACAACAATAAGATACCATATCACACCCATTAAGATGTCTATAATAAAAAATAAAAACAGAAAAACAGGCAATAACAAATGTTGAAGAGAAACTGGAATTCTCATATATTGCTGATGGGAATACAAAATAGTGCAGCTGTACTGAAAACAGTTTGGCTGTTCCACAAAAAAAAATATTAAATGTTAGGTTGCCATAGATCTAGCAGCTCTACTCCTAACTATGTACCTCAGAGAATTGAAAACATATGTTCACACAAAACATGTACACAAATCTTCATAGCTGCATTACTCACAGCAACCAAAAAGTGAAAATAATACACATGTCCATCAACTGATGAATGCATAAACAGAATACAGTATATACATACAATGTAATAGTACTCAGCCATATGTATTGACTTATTACAACATAGATGAACCTAGAAAAATATTCTGTTAAGTAAAAGCTAGACACAAAAGAACACATTTTACAATTTCATTTATGTATTTATTCAGAATTCTGTAAGCAAAACCATGAGACAGAAAGTAAATAAATGAAATCCAGAGCCTAGACTAATGAGGAAAATGGAAAATGGTTATTAACAGATACAGGGTTCTTTTGGTGATGATGAGAAGGTTCTAGAATTAGTGGTGATCGTTGTATAACTTAAAAACTCCCTAAATTGTATACTTTACATGATGAATTTTATAATGTGTGAATTATAACTGTTTTTAACATGATTATATTTTTCTTAATCACACTACAAAACTAAGTTGTTCCAAAAACATAGGACTATAAAAAGTGTTTTCATTAAAATGCATATCATTACATATTGCACTTTTGAAGAAACAAAAGAAGGTTAATGATCTCTTCGTCTCCATGTATTATGCATTGGTGCACACCGAGTGACAGGGTAATTCTCTCTCGAGTTCCACTGTGGAGAGGTATAACGTGCTCTGAAGTTGGGGGAGACACCATGCGTGCCTCAGTCCTGACGTTTCATGCTGCTTCTCTCTCTTCTCACAGGTCCTTCCCTTCCCCAGCCAGGTGGTGTACAACAGGGTTGGCAAGTGTGGGAGTCGCACTGTGGTCTTGCTTCTGAGAATCTTGTCAGAGAAGCATGGATTCAATTTGGTCACGTCAGACATTCACAACAAAACCAGGCTGACTAAAAATGAGCAAGTAAGTAGACTTTAAATTCTATTTTGTGGACTGGGGTTATAGCTCAGTGGCACAGTGCCTACCCAGCAAGCACAAGGTCCTGAGCTCAATTCTTGATACAAAAAAAAAAAAAAAAAAAATTCTATTTTGCTTCAGTTCATTTGAAAAAAATTATAGTTGGTGGCATTTAAAGTTACCACATTTTATGCTTAACATTGTTTAACAGGACTAGATTCTCTTCGGTTTCTTTACTTGATTAAAGAGCTAATATGATTAGGCTGGTTATGTCCTTTTGCCTGCCAGAAAGAAAGAAACTGCAAATAAATAACTTGTATTATGATTTTACTTTAATTGCTAAATTTGGCTTTCCCCTGCATTTAAGTTTTAGGGCCTACTTACCAAACTATCCTTAAATATTCCTATCTATGAAAACAATGCTCACTTTTCATAATACAAAGTTGCTAGATTTTAATTTTCATTGTTGAAGAAGGTAGAAGAAACCCAGAGAGCATAAAACGAAGTGTAACGGAAGGATCAGACCCTGGGAGGTTCGGGAATGTCCTGGACAGGAGAATACAAAATAGAGTGTGCAACTAGGTTGTGGGATTTTACGCAGATAAACCTACATTTTTTCTATTCTAAACATGAGAAACTAAAAATATTAAAGCTGTAATTGTGCATGGAAGGATTTAGACGAAAAATCAACAACAGTTTACTAGTGTTATACGGTCTGTTAGACCCAGAAAAGGTTAAAGCCAAAGTTGCCGTTCTCTAAAATATAGGTTAGCTCTCATCTGTTTGGAATGGTCGGTTTGTCTAGAAGCCAGGGAACAGACTAGACAATCCTTTTAGGTTCTTTCCAGGGCTATGATTCCTTGATATATTTACAGGGCCTCCAGCATAATCTGTGCATTATGTAGTTGAAACGTTTCTGATTCCTGTGGTCGGTATGACCTAGAATGTATTTCATTACTTAGTTATTGCAGATTGCTATTAAATTGTAAGACAGGGTTTTAAATCCTAAGGTAAAAGCAGAGATAAGATAGAAAAATGGAAACAGATACACAATTTTGATGTAAAATCAGACATACCGGTGACTGCTGCGTCCCTCAGTCAGTCTGGCTGGCCCTGGCACACGAGAAGAGAAGCCAGGAAACCGGTCAAGAAACCAAGTCTGGAGAAGTTCAGCAGTGTTTAGAAAACTCTGTCCTTGTTCTAAGTTTCCCTTTTCTTTAAGTTTAAAGTGCATAAAACAAGCAGAGAAAAGTATTATTTTAACTTAATATATTCAAGAAATAATTAGTGGTATGAATAACTCCTCTTCTTGGTAATTTATTAAAGGAATAAAGGGAAGTAATTTAGGAGTGCAGTAAAAATTTTATAATTGGCGGTTCTCACTCTTGAATAGTAGAACTCTGAAAATTTGTTCCCATGGAAACATTGTTCTCTTCAAAAAATGGAGCAATTCTGCTCCAGGTGCAGTAGGAGTTAAGCAGGCTCTTGTGGGCTGGCCCGGGACTCTGTCCACCAAGCAGAACATTTCTTTTATGAGAAAGTGTGCTCCAAGTTCCAAACTGCTGACTTACAAATGAACTTGGTAATGGTATCCATTTGTAAGCCTGGAATTATCTATATCATTTCATTCACACACAAAGACGCTTCTCGGGGCCACAGCCAAGTCAGTTCACACATACATTTCTTCCCGGAGGCTCTGGTACCTCCCCCCGCCATAATGAATGTTAAAAATCTTACTTAATGGAACAAGGCAGTGAAGGGATTATTAAGAGGGAAAAGGAGCGTGGACACACCAAATGTTAGGATGCCTATAAAAGCCCCATTACATCTGCTCTTATAGAAATAGAAACACCTTTGCGGTTTGTGTTTTGCATAAGTCCTCAGCAGGAGTGCTGGAACTGCCACAGGCCAAATGCTGGACCTTTGCACAGGGTACAGCACACGCCCCTGATGGCATCATCTGTTTTATGCCCTCTACCCTGATTTCGATTTTGGGGGTCAGATTAGATGGTCTCTTGAAAAGTGGAGAGCTGTAAACAGTTCAAAAGACTGGAAGCTTTTTCTAAAATACATAGGAGCGAGAACATTCTTTGCAGCATTTTGGCTAAGATCAAGTGTAAAGAAAAGGGGTATGGCTACCAAGTATATGTGTGATGCTGGCAATGCACTGGAAGTCTAAGTACAAGAAAGGTTCAAAGTGCTGCAGGCGGATCACAGACACAGGCATCGCAATTACTTTTATTCTTGTTGGAAATGAGTAAAAATTGTTGGCACAAGAGCTAAAAAAGGTTGAAAGAGCAAATAACTTTTCTATTTATATTTTTATTGAAGTTCCTGAGGATTACAACTTGGAAGCAAGAACTGCTGCATACTAATTGTTTTATGTCATTATTTTGTTTAATTCTTTTGTACCAAAAAGTATATACGATTTCCTGTTTTACGGATGATAAAACTAAGACAACTCAGTGAAGTCACTTTCTAAAAATAATACAGTGATTATGCGTAGCATCTGGACTTGAACTCAAGGCCATTTTCATCAGGTGGTGGTTGTCTGCTCTGTTTGGACAGCAGAATCTCCAGTAGTGCTTTTTAAAATTCAGGTTTGCAAAAAAAAAAAAAAAAAAATTTAATAAGATAAATAAAATCCAGAGGTGCAATTACCAATCTGCTGCAGATTCTGGGGAGGAATCCAGAAAACTTTCTGTCTCTTTCTATATCTCTGTCTGTCTCTGCCTTTGTATCTCTCCCCCTGCCTCACTCCATCTGTCCACCTGTCTGTCTGTCTGTCTCTCTCTCTCTCTCTCTCTCTCTCTTTCTCTCATAGTGCCACAGGAGATTCTGTGATGTGTCCAGGGTTCAGAAGCCCTGTCACATCCTCAGGTCACTTTCCTTAAATGTGTTCCTACAAATCCTAATCCCTTAATACAAGGAAAGAAGAAAATACCATGGTTCAATAAATTTGGGAAATGTTTCATGCCTTGTCTATTTATGATAGTTATTCAGATTTTACAAGCTCAGAATTTAAAAAACAGTTAAAAACAAAAGTATCTTTATAAGTATATTTTCCAGTCCTGGTTGGTCAGGAAATTCTTTTTTTTTTTTTTTTTTTTTTTTTTTTTTTGTCTTTTTCATTTTTATTGGTACCAGGGATCGAACTCACGACTGCCTGCGTGCAAGGCAAGGCGCTTATGCCACTGAGCTAAATCCCCAGCCCCGGGCAGAAAATTCTTTAAAGTGTTTTTGCACTTTAAAGTTTTACTCAGAGTAAAACTAAGGATCAAAACAGAAGATATATACTAGGAAGTAAGGAAATAGATTTTATTTTCAAAGGGGAAGAGGATTTAGTTATAGGGGAAAGAGTTAGGGGATGGAATAAAAGGAATTGGGGTATGCTGTGTATATCTGCCAACCACACACAAAGAATGGAAATATTACATGCTGCAAACACGTACTAAAACAAGAGGAAAAGGATCAAGAGATGGGTGGAGGGGAAGGAAAACAGATGAAAAAAGAAATTAAGATATGCTATGTCCCCGTGCCATTTTCCCACAAAGAATGTAAATATTATATATTAAATAAATATACTAACAAACAAAAATAAAAAATAAAATATTTGTTACTCTTCTCTGCATCCCATAGAATTTGCAATTCACAGCTTGGGAAAAATTGGACTAATCTTCCTCTTTTCCGTCAGTCATACCAGTAAAGGCTACTATTTCACTATAAACTTCACATCTGCTCTGACTCCGTCCAACAGCTGTTCAAATTCTCTAAACCTTGAAAAGTATTCCCATGATGCTCTAGAGGCTGAGACAGCAATCCTGTGCCCATGCACTCTAGAATCCTTATTCTCTTGTCAAAAACAATACAGCACACTATTCGTTGTAGGGTTTTAAGCTTCTGCCTTCTATTGCTCTTGCCCACTGCAAGTTCTAGGGCTGAATTGTGACTATAAAGAAATAGACTTTTTTAAAAAAATCTTATCTAAAGATGGCATCTTTGATTTGGAAAAGGTCTGGAGGCACAAGGATTCTTCCAAGGCTTCACTGAGGCATGGTTCTCAGACCTCTGTTTAATGGGAAAATCCACTCATTCTTTTTTGTTGTTGTTTTGTCTTGTTTTTTTGAAGCATATTTCTGCATTGTTTGTTAATTCATGCTGATGAATATTTACTGAAAACCTAGTACTAATACTGCAGATTGAGCAGCAGACTCTACATTGTACACATGATTTCTAACCCTTGAAGCAATATTCCTAGAAAGGTGTCATCATCCCATTTTATAGGAAAGAATAAGTATGCACATAAATCAAGAAGAATGTAGCTGAATAAACCTTGAAAGCAAACCAGGGTGAAGTCTTAGAGAACCCTGAATGCCAAATTTAATAGGGTTGGAAGTTTATTCAATAGAAAGTGGAGAGCCATTAAAAAATAATTCTAACCATGATGGGCATCAAAATCTGCTGGAGAACTTTTACCAGCTATACGCTTCTGATCTCTGCAAAATACAGAAGTACAAATAAGGGCAAAAGCCAGGTATTAGTATCTCTGAGGAATCACTGCATAAAAGGCTCTAAATATTAGACAGTTTTGCTCTTGTTAAAGTGAATCTTCCACAAAGCATGGAAAATTTCTCTGCCACCTGAAAATCAAACCTCAGAAGATGTCGTTCTCCCTGAAACTGTATTAAGTGCTGTCTCATCAGGTGCAGACACTTATCCCAGGAACACACAATCATTTCCTAGAATGATGCTCAGGGTTTCCCAACTCTCCAGGAGGAAATCAGGGGACCATTAGCATGAACAGTACTCCTGTGGGCTTTGCAGTCAAATCAAAAGATGAGTCCAGTCTGACGCAGCACCATAGGAATTCATTCACCTGGCTCTGCAAGCAGAGTCTTGTCTTGAACTCCTATATGCAAAAACTGAGCCGTCTGGTGGAAAGTTGGTGAAAAGAAAGAGAAGTAGAAGAAGAAGGCCTTAATGAAGAAATTGTTCTCCTTCCAATT